GGAAGGAAGGAAGGAAGGAAGGAAGGAAGGAAGGAAGGAAGGAAGGAAGGAAGGATCAGATTCTGGGAATCTGGAGCAGAGAAACAAGTTCAGAGAAGATCTGGTAGAAAACTATCAGAATTGAGTTTGTTGTGGAAGCTTACTAATTTTTAGCATTAAAAAGACCCATGTTTTCAGAAGGTCAGAGCTAATTGGTCTCCCTACCATCCTATTTGCTGAAAATACTGATCACTATTAGTTAATAGAACGACCAATAGCATTGGTTTTTCTTTACTTTCAATTTAAAAAACCTCATACTTTATCGGGTACAAACTATTTTAAATCATCTCCCTCCTAATAAAAGATATCCTCAGCAGTACATTTTCCACCTGACATTCTCACTAAGACTGAACAAATGAGCAGTTAGATTTTCTATTCCTAAAAATAGGGCACAGTAATTACTGTATTTGCTTTTGTTCCCATCAAGACATTCACTGGAGTCAAAGATCCAGTTGAAATGGCTGCAGTTTGCTGTCACTTTTCAGTTAGTATTAGATCTTGGTCTAGATTTGGTTAAACTTCAGCACAATGTGCCTTTTTTTTTTTCTTTACTGCTGAAACTCCTTATCTGAGGTTGACATGTAGTATGCAAATTCTTTTTAAACACTTTATATACAATTTTTTTTTAAAAACTTCAGTTGATCCAATCAAGAGGCAAGTGCACTTTCTTGTTAGTTTGTTTTTTTCCTTGAAAACATTTTGCTTCCCATCCAAGAAGCTTTTTCAGCTTCTTGAATGAGAAGCGAAACATTTTTCAAAGGAAAAAACCCAAGAAAGTTTTGGAAAAAGCACCTTTGGGAAAACCATGATCTGGATTATTGAGAATCTCCACAGACATTCAATCAAGACATTGTTCAATTTGGGCTTCAGAGACAGCATGGTGCACTGAGCGTGACTCTACTTATTACAGAACCAAGGAATGTGGCCTAAGTAGTAGCCAGTGAAGGGATCAGAACTCCTCTCTGGATTAAGGAGAAGACAAGGATTGGGCATCTTGGGCTCTATACAGACTCCCTCATAAACAGACTGCAAAACAACATTTTCCAACAAGTTTGAGAGGTCTGGAGGTCAAAAGAATATTCTGTTTACCTAAGCCACACTCATCATCTTTCAAAGAGTTATTGAGTTATCTTACTTCCTTTCTTAATTATTTTAGGAAATTTTTATTACAGACTTATTTGGAGTTAAGAACTTTATGAAAGAGAAATTGTACTACACTGGTAAATTTCCTTCCACCTTGGATGGAAGCTCTGAGTAAATTTAAGGATAAACAAGAGAAGCTTAAATTTTTGGAAAACAGCAACAATGGGACTAAAATGTTGATTTTTGAAAAATTAGGGAGCTAAATGTGAAAGTATAATTCCTGTGGGTTGCCTAAAAATTTATAGAATGGTACATGAAGTTTTTAAAATTAATTTTAAGTAATCTTCTTTTGTCCTGGTCTGTGACTGTAATAAAGATTCAATTAAATTAAGAAATCTCTCATGGGAAAGTTTTGTTGATTGGAATATGAACAGCTGATAAGAGGGGATCTGAACCATTTATTTATAAGTGGGGAAAGATTTCCTCTGCTGTATTTCTTAGAAAAAACGGATAAAAAATTATGGCTTGTAAAATTTTATGTTTTTATTAATATTAATATACATACATACATACATATAGTACGTACATACATACATACATACATACATACGGTACATACATACATGCATACATACACATACATTCTGGTAGCTTTCAAGAGACTTTGCTAGGATTGAATGATGTCTTAAAAATTATCTGATGTTGTCTCTATATTAAGAATCTAGTTTTAGGATGAATATGTCACCGGTTTATTGCTATAATTCTCAATATGGTCTGACTCACAATTAACATGATGCCAAAATCCTCCAGTTTCCTGAAATAACATTTTTTTTGTGAAAGAAGCTTTTTTTTAATTAGACTACTTGAGTTTATGTGTACTTTTTAGAACTCCTATAATACTAGAAATGACAGAAAGTAGTTTTATTCTTTATATTTCCTGGTTTATCAAGTCTCCCAGGAAGGAATTATTTTATGAAGTCTCTCGATGTTTAATGGATGTATATCACGGGTGTCAAACTTGATTTCAATGAGGGCTGCATCAGGGTTGTGTTTGACCTTGGGGAGCTGGGGTAGGCATGGCCAGGATGGGCATGGCCAGCTCAACGGGCTCCCGAACTCCGTTTTCGGCTGCGATGGCCTCCTGCAACCCTCTGCCACAGGGGTGGGTTCTAAATTTTTTTACTACCGGTTCTGTGGGCGTGGCTTATTTTGTGGGTGTGGCTTGGAGGTCATGTGACTAGGTGGGCGTGGCTAGCTGGTCAGTCATTTCTGGAAGGTCCTCGCACTTACGACCAGTCCTCGCACTTACGACCCGATTCATTTGTTTGCTTTTAACACTGATCAGCTGTAGGACGGCCCTTTGAAGCCCCCCGGCAAGAGTTTAAACAGTTTTTTTCCCTCTAGTCATCAGCTGGGACTCAGGAGGCAGCAATAGATTGGGGGTGGAA